TCCCATCACCCATCATGCTGACATCTGTCTAGGTAACTCATGCCTCTGCGTTAATTTTTTTTTTAAAAAAAACCTTTTGAGAATGATGCTTTAATCATATTCAGATTCAAAATGTTATGATTGGAGAATAATATTCTAAACATGATACACAAATTATCAGAGAGGAATTGAATCTAATACAAGAATATAACTCGAAATTCATATGATATGATTTGTCTTCAAAATAAATTAATCATTAAATATCTTGTGCTATATTTTCTAGATATTATATGTATTTGAACGTGATAATATGTATTTATTGGATTACTTGGACCAGAAAATGAATAGGATACTAAATGACAACTGCTAACTACCGTGCCGATTAAATGCGTCGTGAGTGATGTCTCCAAAAAAAAAAAAGAAGAAAAAAAAACAGAGAGAATGACAATGATACAGCTTTTGATTCCCTTCTCTTCTGCAATCATAATTTTCCTTTTTTTTTTCTTTTTTTTTTTCTGATAACAATCTGCCATGTACAACAAAATTTTCTAAAAAAGGAAAAAAAATAAAATAAAAATGACAATCATACACCTTTTGATTCCCTTCTCTTCTGCAATCATAATTTTCCTTTTTTTTTTTTTTTTGTCTGATAACAATCTGCCATGTACAACAAAATTTTCTAAAAAAGGCAAAAAAAAAAAAAAAAAAATGACAACCATACACCTTTTGATTCCCTTCTCTTCTGCAATCATAATTTTCCCTTTTTGTCTGATAACAATCTGCTATGTATAACAAAATTTCCTAAAAAAGGCCAAAAAAAAAAAAAAAAAAAGGGAAAGAATAAAAGAGCAATGAAGCTGACTGTTCAGTGCTCATATAATTTTGCAGTCCCATTTCTGACTAATCGAAGTTTTGCAAACCCTACCAAAATTAATAATTGTACCGCCATGAGGAATGGGAGTAAGAAAAGTCAATATCATATATGTGTTACCAAGAAAAAAGCGAATATCATGTGAACAAATAAAAGGAATTAAAGGAGAAAACTGGATTTTTATTGTTCTTTCCAATGAAAGTATGTGTGCATTTTCTAATTTCAGACTCGATGCACCCACCTCTTCTGCTAGATAGAAGAATTTGAAAGAAATTGAACGTATTTGAAGCTCAATATTTATATATATATTTTTTTGTTTAACTAATTGAATTAATATTTTCTTCGAAGTGTTGAAACAGATGGCGTCATTGTACAAATTAAACAACTCATCTTTCAATCTAATAACCCACGTCACATTAGAACATAAAAAACCTGACCCCCTCAACTCTCAAGAATCTAAATGACAATCAAATGACTTGATGATAATGTTTTTTTTTTTTTTTATAAGCCGAGTGTTCGGGCGAACATGCGACATTTCGATTAATCCTCGAGCCCACTAAACACCCCGCAAGCCCAATGAACAGGTAAGGCATCACGAGGGTGACAGCGCGTGTGCGAAAGATTCGAAACCGGGTGTTATCGATGAGCAACTCTCGACCTCATCACCGAGCTACGACCTCAAGCGCTGGTAATGTTTTTTTTTCCTCCTTAATGAGAGCTCAACTAATTAATGAAATTAAACACGTAAAATTCCACTTTTAACCATTCGTTTAGCTAGGCTGCATTCCTCTAATTCCCTTTTATTCCTTTATCATGGGCCATGTGGAACTGCTAACAGAAGCAATTATGTCACCGTTAGTTTTTGTTGAAATGAAAGGAAACGAAAAAATATTTTATTAATATAAAGAGGAGAATGGGCATGAATCCAAATCATAACGGACCAACTTTCAACCACACTTTATAATGACCAGTGTGTGCTTGAGATTCAATAACGAGGTGAATTTCTGATCTATTGTGCCATTAAGTCAATGGTCACCAATTTTGCCCAAGGAGCACGTGTTATTTCACGCTAGAGACTCCTCAAGGCTTGTAGTAAAACAGTTTTCAGAAAAAAAAAAGAGACAACAAAATTAACAATTTACTAGTTATTTAATCGGGGGAAAAAAAAGTTACCGCGGCCGCATTTTATGACTATACTGTGTGCAATTGCAAATATTACAAAATTAGTAGTAAATCTAGAATATAAATACTTTAAGTTCTACCGAATGACAGGACATAATTCTTCCGAATCCTTTGGATGATTTCTTATAATCAATAGTATCTTTTAAGTAATGATTTTTTTTTCCAAGTTCCAAAATGGTTCAAACTAGAAACACGTTATCTTCCTTATTACTTGCATTGTTGGCATTCACAAATCAGATTATCCTATTCTCACGAATACCTCGAGTTAATCGTAAATACTTCCCATCCAACTCAACAGTCGACTTTTTACTAAATTTATGCACAAAATCAAAATGGCGTATAATGTACAAATAACTTTTTGAAAGTATGGACCAAAAATTTTGATTTTTTGTTTATTTGAGTGTTTAATCAGTAAACTTTTTCTATTTAATTGTTCAATTTTTTCTTGTTCGAGTGTCTACCGTCATTAAAAATTAAAAAAATATTGAGATGTTTAGAATAAATAAATAAAAATTATTTAAATACTCACAATCACATGTCACTGAATTTCAATTATTTCAGTATTTTTTAATTTCACTTGACTAAGAGAACATTAACAGAAAAGAAAAATTCAATCGCTAGGCACTCAAATAAAAAAAATAAAAAATTAGATATTCAAATATTATTATTTTTTTTCAAATAACTCAAGTGATATATTTTTACCAAGTATCACTTAAAAGTTATTATAGATAATTCATCTTGTATCTTTTCAGTCTCTAGTAATTGTAAACACTAAAATTTAAAAAAAAATCAAAATTTAGGCAATCGAATAAAAAAATTTATCAATTAAGCATTCAAATAGAAAAAAAAATAAAAATAATAAATTGAACACTTAAATTGCATTTTTCTCCATTTGTAATTACAAAGTGGTAGATTTTATCAGTTTTATATGGACAGATTATTTAAAAATTCATGTTACATCCTCAATTTTATGGCCATCAAAATACAGGAAGTTTTAAGTAATTTACTCCTTTTATATATAGCAATCAAGTATACTTATGGAAATCAATCATGAGAAAATAAATCACTCGCTGAACCCATAACGTTAATAAAAAGTCCAAAGTATCTCAACTCATTCCAAAAAAATTGATGCCATTCATCTTAAAATATCTTATTCCAAATTAGTTTCTTAAATAATATTTTACACCAATATTTAAACGATAATATATATGTTAATGAAAAAATTCACTCGAACTGGATATTTCCGTACCTGTAACATCACTCCTCACTAAATTTAAATAACCTGAAACCTTCCGTAATTAAGAGATTAATGAAACTGAGTGATTGGTTAATTAAGGCTTGTTTAATGTAAAATAATAATTAATTATTCTTTTAACAGTAATATACAGTGTGCGCGAACAAGGCAAGAAAGCGGACAAGTTGAGGAGTCCAAGAAAAGACATTATTGAGATCTTAAGCAAGGGCAGATTAGTCATTAGAAGTTTCTTTTCTTTTCGCGATACTTTTGCCCTCTCAATCTCTGAAAAAGGTAACGACAAGAGACAGCAAAAATCGCTGAATGTGACCGTTTATCAGTATCCTCAATTAAATCAAATCTTAACCACAAATTAACAAAGATAATCCCATTCTTAATTCTCGTATTTCTCATTCCTTAAAACTACACTTACGTATGAGTATGACATAAAATCTTCTCTTCTGTAGATGGAAATATACAACAAAAAGGTTTTTACTTCACTTCACTTCACCTGCTGCCTCATTCGCTGTTAACTTTCTCTTTTAACAGTCATTGACAGTGGTAGCATACCAAATCTAAAAGAATATAATGCTGAAGTCTCATTTCAGACAGAGAAAGAGAGAGAGACAGAGAGAGAGAGAGAGAGTGTGTGTGTGTGCTTGTGAGTTTGATAGAGAAAATGGGGTGACTAGGAATATATGCGGCTGGGGAGGTTAGGATCACAGCTGCTGCTGATCACAATCCCATTATTTCACTCGGTTTAATTCTTTCGGTATGTTCTTGATCTGTAATGTTCAAAATGATCATTTTTTTAAATTTTGTAGGTGCCCATTTGCTTCAAGTTTGTGTTTTTTGTGTTCTCTCAGATGGTAGTTGGTAGATTTTTGCTTGCTTATCGAATCCCATCATCAGATTTTATTACTGTACATAATGGATCATTCTTGTTTTTGTGTATGTGTAGTTTTTTTTCCCCCGGTAAGATTTAAGTCTCATAGGTATCTTTTGAGTTCCAGTTGAGATCTGTCTGCTTCTAGATTGTGCTTTTCTTTTCCTTTGAATGGTAGATTGAGTTTCATGAACTCTTTCTATGTTTTGGATTACTTCAGTTTTGTCTCACTTCTTGTACAATATTTGCATTAGGATTATTATTGGGCCAGTATTGGTCAATTATTCGTAATGCTGCATAGTACTAGTACTTGCATCCTGGAATTTGGGAACTCAAACAATGCAAGCATGATATGTTGAGTACTTGACTCCTTGCATTCTCCTGTTTGATTTTGCTTTTCATTTCTTCGAACTGCTTGGCTCTATCTTGCGCGGTATGAATTTGGAAGATCTGATTTTCCTTTCATTTCAATTTATAAATTTGAAGGTTATTGAAGTAAGGAGTTCCATGTGCAACATAAACAGTGGACTTGGTCAAAAAGTTCCATTTGCAACACAAACATTAGACTGTTCCATTGAGCAGGTAGTCTGCATATCAAATGTTTATAAATTTTTAGAACACGTGATGGAAATATTAAATTCTTTTGTTAACGATCTTAGTCTGTGTAGGTATAAGAAGTGACATAAGAAGTGAAGATCTTGAAGGGTCCTTTGGAATACTATTGAGTGGCTGGAATAACTTCAATTATTATTCTGGCCTGGATCCCGTACTTGGGTTTTTGTTACTGGTACAAGGACCAGGATTTTGCAAAGTCCAAGCCAGCTGCTTTATTGTTCTTGGCTGGAGTCATGGCAACGCTATTACATTCTGAGTCCAGAAGATTGTATTCTTGGTGGTGGGACAGCCACATTAGTCCGAAGAATTCGAAATGGCTTCAAGAAAATCTCACAGGTCTCCATTCTCTTCTTGGATCTTTGTCATATATTTTGACGACTATTTGCTTAATATATATGCTTGGCATATAAGAAGTTATACTTAGATGGTCTTTTGTCTGCTCTCGATTATAGATATTAAAGTCAACAAAAAACTTTTGCTGATTTGAGAGGGGGGGGGGGGGGGGGGGTTCAATTGTCATAAATCTCATCTATGGGCTGATTGCAATTACTTTCTTCCTTGTTAGTTATAGAAGCTTCATCATCGTCTGAAGGCATGTCTGGTTTGAATCTCAACATATGCATGAGTATTCTTTCTATGGCGATGCACATAAGAGTTTGTATTCAATTACAGTTAGTTGTCATGGGCCTGCATGTTTGCTTATGTTCGTCACTTTCATACAACCATTTAAACATTGAAGTCCACCATGCACCATCTTGCACATATCTGTTAGTGTCCCACATTGGTTTTTCTGAATGCAAACGATGCCCCAGATTTAGTTTCCATAAAAAAAATTACCCATTCACATCATACAGAGAATGTTTAAAAAATGTGGTTATGGTAGTGGATAATCAAATAGTATATCATGCTTTGTTCTGCATCACGAACATATGAAATGCACAGGCTCGTATTCTAATTGCCATAATTTCTGAAAGGATATATGGCCTTGAAAAACTGTTTATCATCATGCATTTAACAATTAACCAAGCTGCTGTATTACATATATGGATGACTGTGATTTATGGTTCACATTCTTAATGAGCATGGATTTGTTTCAACAGATATGGATGCCAAAGTCAAAGCAATGATCAAGCTCATTGAAGAAGATGCCGATTCTTTTGCAAGAAGGGCAGAAATGTACTACAAGAAGCGTCCTGAACTGATGAAATTGGTGGAGGAATTCTACAGAGCTTACCGTGCATTAGCAGAGAGATATGATCATGCAACTGTGGAGCTTCGGCAGGCTCATCGAACGATGGCAGAAGCATTTCCCAACCAAGTACCTTATGTACTGGGTGATGATTCACTGTCAGGCTCTTCCGGCCCTGAGGGCGAGCCACACACTCCAGAAATGTCCCATCCTATTCGAGCATTTTTTGAACCAGATGACGTGCATAGGGATTCATTTGGACTCTCTATGAAAAGCAACGGGGGTATCCACCAGAATCAGACTCTGGAATAAACAAAAGGGGTTTAAAGCAGCTCAATGAGTTGTTTGGGTCACGAGAAGCATCATCTCAAGTTTCAAAAGTTGCAGATGGAAAAATGAAAAAGGGCCTGAAGGTTCATGAAGCAGCAGAAGGCGACACTGGAGAGCAAGCTGAAACAGAAGTTCAAAACTTAAAGAAAGCTCTTTCAGAGATTCAAACTGAGAAGGAAGCTGTTCTTTTTCAATACCAGCAGAGCTTGCAGAAGTTATCTAGCTTGGAGAGAGAACTAAAGGATGTTGGAGGGCTTGATGAAAGAGCAAGCCGAGCAGAAATTGAAATTAAGATCCTGAAGGAAACCCTTGCTAAATTAGAAGCTGAAAGGAATGCTGGTCTTCTTCAGTACAATAAATGCTTGGAAAGAATATCTGCTTTAGAGATTTTGATCTCTCAATCGGAAGAGGATGCAAAAGGATTCAATGAACGTGCTATTAAAGCTGAAATAGAAGCTCAACACCTCAAGCAAGAACTTTCAGGATTAGAGGCTGAAAAGGAAGCTGGTCTTCTTCAGTACAGCCAATGTCTTGAACTGATATCCAGTTTGCAGAATAAAATCTTTATTGCAGAGGAAAATGCTAGAATGCTTAATGAGCTAACCGAAAGGGCAGAAACTGAAGCTCAAGCATTGAAGCAGGCCCTCACTAAATTGAAGGAAGAGAAAGAAGCTGCAGAACTTCGGTATGAGCTGTGCTTGGAGAAAATAGCTATGATGGAGAGTGAAATTTCTCATGCCCAAGAGGATGTCAATAGACTAAACAGGGAAATTCTGACAGGAGCTGCAAAATTGAAAACTGTAGAAGAACAATGTTTCCTGTTAGAGGGATCAAATCAATCTCTGCGGTCAGAGGCGGAAAATCTAGCTCAGAAGATAGCAACAAAGGATCAAGAACTTTCAGAGAAGGAAAATGAGTTGGAGAAACTTCAGGCTTTGCTTCAAGATGAACAGTCACAGTTTATTCAAGCTGAAGCCACTCTGCAGACTTTGCAGAAATTGCACTCACAATCTCATGAGGAGCAGAGAGCTTTGGCAATTGAGCTTCAGAATCGCCTCCAAATGTTGAAGGATTTAGAGATATCAAACCATGATCTGCAGGAGAACCTCCAGCAGGTTAAGGAAGAGAACCAGAGCCTCAATGAATTGAACAGTACTTCCATTATTGCGATAACAAATTTGAAAAATGAAATTTGTAGCTTGAAGGAAATGAAAGAGAAACTTGAAGAGGATGTTTCCCTACAAGTGGTTCAGAGCAATTCCCTCCAGCAGGAGATTTACCATTTGAAGGAGGAAATTGAGGGCTTGAATTCAAGATATTGGGCTTTAATGAAGCAAGTGGACTCGGTGGGTTTAAATCCAGAGTGCCTTGGTTCATCCGTGAAGAACTTGCAAGACGAAAACTCGAAGCTAAAAGAGGTCTGCCGAAAGGAAACAGAAGAGAAGAAAGTTCTCTGTGAAAAGTTGAGCTCAATGAATGAACTTTCGGTGAAGAATGTCGCATTGGAGAGATCCCTCTCAGATTCAAATCGCATGTTGGAAGGGTCAAGAGAGAAAGTTAAAGAATTGCAGGAGTCCTCCCAGTATCTTCAGGGAGAAAAATCCAGTCTTGTTGCTGAAAAGTCCATCCTGCTTTCTCAGTTACAAATTATGACGGAGAATGTGCAGAAACTCTTGGAGAAAAATGCCTTGCTGGAGAATTCTCTCTCTGGTGCAAATATTGAGCTTGAAGGTCTGAGGACAAGGTCAAGAAGCTTGGAAGAATTCTGCCAGATGCTAAAAAATGAGAAATCCATTCTTCAAGATGAAAGAAGCTCCCTGGTCTTGCAGCTGAAAAATGTTGAAGAGAGACTGGGAAACCTAGAAAAGAGGTTTACAAGATTAGAAAAGAAGTACACTGATCTGGAGAAGGAGAACGATTCTACACTTTGTCAAGTAAAGGACCTATGGGGTTTTCTTGGTGTAGAAAAACAACAGCGTTCATGTTATATACAGTCAAGTGAATCCCGACTGGCAGATCTGGAAAACCTGGTCCATCAACTGCAAGAAGGAAGTAAGTTGAGTAAGAAAGAATTCGAAGAAGAACTAGATAAAGCTGTAAATGCTCAGGTTGAGATCTTCATCTTGCAGAAGTTTATTAAAGATTTAGAAGAGAAGAATTTATCCCTGTTAATCGAGTGCCAGAAACATGTTGAAGCGTCCAAATTCTCAGATAAACTGATATCAGAGTTAGAGACTGAGAATCTCGAGCAGCAGGTTGAAGTAGAATTCTTGTTGGACGAAATTGAAAAGCTTAGAATGGGCGTTCGTCAAGTTTTGAGGGCTCTTCAATCTGATCCGGTTAATGAGCATGAAGATGGGAGTCTTGCACATATTTTGGACAATATCGTGGACCTAAAAAATTTGATTCTTGTAAAGGAGGATGAGAAACAACAATTGGTGGTTGAGAATTCGGTGCTGTTAACTTTACTCAAACAAATGAGATTAGATGGTATTGAGCTTGGGTCAGAGAAAAGCATCCTTGAGCAGGGGTTCAAGATAATGGCAGAGCAACATACTATGCTGGAAAAAAGTAACCACGAACTGCTAGAGATGAACAGGCAATTAAGATTGGAAGTGAGCAAGGGAGAGGAGCAGAAGGAAGAATTGAAAGCTCAACTCGAAACCCAGCATGTGAATCTGACAAGTTTGCAGGGTTCTTATCTGCAATTGAAAGAGGAAAATTTGAAGGCGCTTGGAGAAAGCAGATCTTTGCTTTGGAAAGTTTTGGACCTCAAAGAGGAAATGCGGGTACTTGAAGAGGAAAACAGTAGCATTCTCCAGGAATCTGTAGCTGTCAGTAACCTCTCGTCAGTGTTTGAGAGCTTTGCAACAGAGAAAATTGAGGAACTTGATGCCCTTTCTGAAGAAATCAGCTCTCTAAACGTGGTTAGCAGAGACCTCAAGCAAAAGGTTGAACTGTTGGGAGATAAACTGCAAACAAAAGAAGCAGAAAGTCTGCATCTTTATGAAAGAATTGAAAAGTCGCATCAGGAGCTGCTGGAAGAAAAAGATATAACAGATCAATTAAACTGCCAAATTTTAATTGAAAATGATTTTCTTCGAGAGAAAGCAACAGAGCTTTTCCTTGCGGAACAGAATATCGAGGCGACCAACAACTTAAATGCAGAATTTTGCTCCACCATTGAGGAGCTGCAGAGGCAATGTGAAGAATCAAAAATTGCAAGAGAAAACTTAGAGAAGCGGATTCTTGAACTTTCCTTCATTTGCACAGATCAGAAAATAGGGATAGAATGCCTTCATGAAGCAAAAGATAATCTGGAGTCAGAAATGGCTACATTACACAAGGAAATCGAGGAAAGACAGACTAGGGAAGAGAGCTTGAGTTTGGAGCTGCAAGAGAGAAGCAACGAGTCTGAACTCTGGGAAGCTGAGGCTTCATCATTCTACTTTGATCTTCAAATATCTTCCATCCATGAAGTTCTGCTTCAAAACAAGGTTCATGAGCTGACTGCAGTTTGTGGGAGTCTTGAAGAAGAAAATGCCACAAAAGATAATGAGATTGAAGAAATGAAAGAAAGGTTTGGCATCCTGGAAAGTGAAATTCAAAGAATGAAGACTCATTTGTCTGCGTATGCTCCGGTCATAATTTCGCTTAGAGAGAATATAGAATATCTTGAGGACAACGCGCTTCTTTGGACAAGGAGAGGACAAATGGTACTGTTCTTTCTTTCTTTAGAAAATATTAATAGTGGAGCAATTCAGCATATTATCTCTAATCTAGATATGACTAAATATTTTGTTTTCCTTTTCATGTGGCTTAACAAGAAGAAAATGAATTTCTGCACTTCAATAAGCCCTTTTAAGTCCAACCAAGGCAGATTTATCTTCTACTTATAGAAACTTTATCATCTGACTGGACAAATATTAGGTTTTACTTAAATTAGAAAATAATTTTCCATATCTTCTCAGCATAAATTTCAAATGTCGAATTTTAAATTATGGGCTTATTCTCTTTGTTCATAGCAAGTTCAATATAGTAATGTCTATGTGTGCGTGCACGTGTTAAGTAGAATTCAAGCATGCTGAGACAATCATTTTAAGCTGTCTCCTAGTCTTGTTCTATTCAACTGTTTTATGTAGATGGTGACGGTGTGCAGTCTAATGTGTTCTTCTTCATATGTCTTCAGGGAGTAGAAATGACTAGTCAACTTCATGAAAATAGCCCTGAAGAACTCAACAATGGTGAAAGCCCTGCAGTAACAGATGGAATTTCAGATTTGCTGAAGATGAAGTCTAGAATTAAAGCAGTTGGGGAAGCGGTGGTTAAAGAAATGGAAAGGCTTGCAGCTGAAAAGGCAGTGGTGAAGGAAATGGATGAGCTTAAAATGCAGGAAATGGGGAACTCTGAGGAGATGAAAGGGGCTGAACGGTTGGAGTTGAGAGGCCGGTCAGCTGCAGAAAAGGATGCCCAGAAAGAAGAGATGGAGCTTGCAAATGAGCCCACTGATGCAGCCAAGCCACAAAACAGTAAACCTGAAATTTCTGATGTGAGGAATGGGATTTTGATGAAAGATATTCCACTTGATCAGGTCTCAGAATGTTCATTATGTAGGAGAAGCAAGACAGAGCATGCTAGGAAAGATGATCAGATGCTTGAATTATGGGAGTCTGCGGAGAGAGACTGCCTTGATCCACTGGCTGACAAGCAAAAGCAGGAAGCTGCCCCATTGGAGAATGCCACTGCATGTCGTCAATTAAAAAATGCCAAACGGAAGAGTCAGGATCCCTCTTTGGAATTGCAGATTGAGAAGGAAGTGGGCATTGACAAGCTCGAGGTATCAACAACCATCACTAGAGAACCCAATCAAGAAGGAAACAGAGGAAAGATCTTGGAGAGACTTGCTTCTGATGCTCAGAAATTAATCTCTCTTCATACAACAGTGCAAGATTTGAAAAAGAAAATGGAGTCAAGGAAGAGAAGCAAGAGGGTCAATGATCTTGAATTTGAAAGAGTGAGAAGACAGTTACAAGAAGTTGAGGAGGCTGTTCTGCAGTTGGTTGATACTAATGACCAACTGACAAAGGATGTTGAAGAGAGTCCCTTGTATTTGGAGGAAAACACTTCAGTAGAGATGGAAGAGACTGGCTCCATGCACAGAAAAAGAGTGGCAGAACAAGCACAAAAAAGGTGTGAAAAGATTGGAAGGTTGCAGTTTGAGGTTCAGAGCATTCAGTACATTCTGCTAAAACTGGAGGATGAAAAGAAAAGCAAAAGTAAGCGCAGATTTTCTGGAAGTAAAACGGGCATCCTCTTGAGGGACTTCATATACAGCAGGGGCAGGAGAAGCAGCAGAAGGCAGAAGAAGGGTTGCTTTTGTGGGTGTGCAAGATCTTCAACTATTGAAGACTGAGGTAACTACTTTAATGAAGCCTGTTCTCATTGCTAGCTACAGTTCTTGAAGCATTCCAGATTTTATGTATTTTAAGAGATTAAGTTAGACTGAAGCTATTCATGTTAGCTTAGTAGAAACCTGAGAATAGGCTGATCTAGCAAAGTAATAAGCTGTTTCTCCAGCATTCTTACCGTTGTAATTTCAGCTGAACTATGCCAAAGCAATCCAAGCTTCTTATATATATATATATAGAATGTCTCGTTATTAAAATTGGCATCAATATCATCCTAGCCAGTTGAAGTGTTTAGAAATAATTCGCAAATGGGACAAGCTGATGGCAGGAAATCTAACTATACGATGTCAGAATTTTTCCACAACTTTATGAAGTGGTTTGCTTTTTGGTCATAAAAGTAACAAGAAACTTGAGAAAAGAGTAATATCCACGTCTAACTACGGCCTTGCCCTTGCTTACAAGTCGGGCATAGCCACATTGCTTACAAATTCAGTATTGAATTTATATACTGCACCAAAATGGTCCAAGTCTTCATTATATCTACATGGTCTTTGTTAAATGGGTATCATTGCTGTCGTCAATGTACAAACTAAGTTAGTTGGCAAGTCATTTGGGATTGCTCAATACTGCTCCCACAGAGATCCATAGAGGTAAGGATTACTTCCGTTGTTTAACCCAACTACGAGATGAGAAAAATTATCTCACATCAGCTGATTTCATGTACTGAACCTTTTGGTTTAATGAGATTGACCATGTTGATTAACACTTTGAACTCGGGAGCCAGGATGATAGACTGGTCTTGCATCGGATGCGTCCAAAAGAGCCACGTCTAAACAGTTAGCAAAGGCTTCAAAACCTGCCATGCGTAGACTCGGCTTTTATGTGCTTTTCTTCTCTTTGTAATTGGACTAGGTTTGTCACGTGCTTCCCGTCTCGAATGCTTCCGGTTTTGTTCGCTTAGCTTTCCAGGTCCTGGGAGTTCTTTTCCTCAAAAAATGTTGGCTCGAAGTTGAAATAGGGATGCTATATTTGATTCATTGAAGATCTTTACTAAGAACTGCTTAACTTCTAGACCTAGGTCAAAAACTAAGAATGGTCTTATTCCGAAAAGAAAATGAATGAATTATCTCTGTGCATATATTCACCTCTCCTTCCTTACACACGTACATTCTGTTTATCTTCGTATAGAGAAACTATTAGGTAAAAATGAAACCCTCGAGGAAAGTTATCCATGAACCAGACCTGACTAGCTCAATCAGCTAAGACCAGATGATACCAAACCAGAAAGGAACGAGGACCTGAACCACCAGGCTTAGATGGCTAATGCTGCAGAAGTGGATTCTGTTAGTTGTAAATTTTGATCCCCCATCGCATTAAGGCTTGGGAATATTGTTCTTGGAAGATTGCATTTTTTTTATTTTCTTTTAACTCGTTGTCTTTTCATAACAAAATGAAGTGCTAAATCAACCTTTATAAAAGGAAGATGAACAAAAATAGAAATAGAATTACAACAATATACTACAAGAGTAGTTGGATTTTATGAAGAGAAGATAGCATTTTATAATACAAGCAGAGCGGAAAAACTCAAATAACATACAACTAAACTAACGTGCCTCTCAACGCTACGAAGGTTTAACAGAATTTCATGAGATTTTATGAGAAACATTTCATTTCAATGCTGGGGAGTGAGAGAGGGAAATGAGGGTATGGATTGCAGTATCAACTTCCGACCACTCCTCCGACCAGGGGATGATCCTATTTTACTTTGAGGAGGAGAGACCCTCTTGCTGTTGGGAGAAGAGGTCTTAATGCCGGAGTTTGGAGAGTGGTTTTCTCGGAGGATCTCAGGAATGTCATCATCCGGAACATTTTGGAATTGTTTTTCAAACTTCGATTGAGGTCGAAGAATATTTGGTTTTCCGTATCTTTGGCCTGTATACAATCCAGAAGATGAACCAACGCCAAGAAAGGATCTTGGCGGTTTGCCCTTGGACGAAAATGGCAGCTGAACCAATGATCTGGCATCAAATTTCAAACATCATTAAAGATCTACTACAAAATTATAACCTAAGGCAGTAAATAGATAGTTCGGAAAGTAAACCTGCAAAACCGTAATGGAGTTGTGGGAAGTGCAGAATTTGGATTCTGCTCGTCATTATTCTGGATTTCAGATTTCTGTAATAGTTTATCAACCCCACTCTTTTCACTTGCTTCTGTTTCATCTTCTGGTTCATCTTCCATTTCCATTGAAGCAGATCCTGAAATCAGAATGCCATTATGGGCACAAAAACATTTGGAATTAATTTTATTTGTTAAATCATTTTAAACCACAACATGATTTGAGAAAGGTTGACTGTGTACAGAGTAGCTAATATGTAGGAAAGCAAACTCTTGGGTAAAACTCACCATCCTTCCTTCCAAATGCATTCTTGCATCCTTCACATCTGCAGTTAATGGAGCATCCAACACCACCCTACAATAGAACCATGATTTGATGAATCAGTTCATATTAAACATTAAATGCATACAGAATATGCCAAGAAAACTACCTGATAGCATTCACAGTATTTCTTTAGGCAACTTGATTTTTGCAGTTGCATCCTCTTTTATGGCGGGCTGAAGCAGGTGTTTTGCTCGACTCATCCTAGTTTGAAGAAATATTCAAGTTAAAAAGAAAAGTTTGACTCTGTTGCCTATGCAAAAGGTGAGATCAGATTTTAATTCTAACCCCAATTTCAGGTGCAGATTCAGAGCTCCGAATAACTTTGGGAGCAAATGCAAGTGGGTTGCGAGACTCGATCTGTTTGCGAGTTGCAAGAACAGTATCTTCATGAATAGGTTTGTTGAAGCAATCTTGACATGCACATGGCTCTATGCAGTAGACACCAGCAGCAAAACATTCACAGTAACTGCATGGAGTACATATGACATGAATATATGATCATAATGATACCAAGTAAAGGATATGCATAGACATACCAAGAGTCTAAAGAAATGAGGGATAGGAAAGGAACAGAGCAGGAAAAACTTAAGCATCCACCTAAAAAATACTAAATAAAAGGAGGATATCATCAAATTTGAAACTAAGCCAAACTATTAGATCCAAGTCTGAAGCTTGGTTCATGCTGAGGATTCTTGGGCCAGGGAGCTTCATTGATAAAGATATATTTTTTTTTTACTCAAAAAGAAAAATGCATGTACTTCCATAGACAAGAAAATTCACATGAGATACAACAGCATTCAAACTACAAAATCTGCCCCGACACAGGACAAAAGAATGTTCTTGTGTTTAGGCCAATGTCAAGAGACGTCTAAGTACTGAGATTTATCTTTGAATAGCACATATGATTATACTTATTTGGGTCACTAGCTGGAAACAGGATACCTGATTGAATTAAACTTCAAAAGATAGGAACTTACAGTTTCAAACACTTTGATTTCTTACAGTTGCAACGCTTGCAGGCCTCAGCTTCTCCTTCCAACCTACGCCTGGAAATACAAAATAAAAATCATAGCCTAGAAACGTGAGAAATGCATAAACAAACTGAAAAGTGTAAAACTTATGAGGTGATAACTGTACAAAAAATATATTGTCAAAGAGCATGCCTCTTCTTTTTGGACTATTCTGGTTGAAATCATCCACAAGTGGAATATCATTGTCATTGGGATCCATATCTCTTTCAGTAGGCACTAAGGCCAATGATTCATTAAGTTCTTGACCAGTTGTTGGGGAGTGAAAGGAGGGAGCAGAACCAGGCAAAGTAATGGAAGAAGAGAAATTTTCATGCTTTATCTTTTTGCTATCCTTGGAATTTATTGCAAGAGCATTTAAGTGCAAACCAATTCCAGGTAAAATGCATCTTGAAGAATCACTGCCGAGCTTAACAGGCACCAATTGCGTATTTTTGGAGGTAGTTATCTCATCTGACTGCACAAACACTGAACTAGAGCTTGAACCATCTTCTATGTTCTTCCTGCGGGCTCCTATCTTCTCAAAATCAAGACAGCGCCTTCGCATGCCACGATGCAAATTAGAAACAGCCTACGGAAACATAAAACAAATCAACTGTTGTCAGAACAGTCATCAAGTTACTCAAAAATTAAGAATTGGAGATAAAGAAGAAGAAAAAAAAACAATTTTTCTCAAGTAAAATACAAGTCTTCAAAATTACGAAGGGGTCAATCTCAAAGAAAAGGGAAACTTTAAACAGTGTTTCTGAAGTGGCAGAGCTATCACGACATTTAGGAATTGAATAAATGCAAATTGATGATGCAACTTGAGGAAATCATGCTACTGTTAGAGAAACACAACTCAAATCTTGGTACAAGTTTATCTCTTACAGATTCATTAACGGCACCAATTTTTGGTTTGCCAATTCTATATCCTGAATAGTTATATTTTAAACAATAAGCTGCTAGATGGGATTTATGATGAATTCAGTGGAACATGCCGATACCAAATTGAATATGGTTGGGACAACATACAAGTTTAAAGGAGCAAATAGGAAAGGCTTTCTAGGTTCCCTAACAGTGCTGTGGTTGGAAGAGGAGCTGACTGACTCTGTGTGCTTGGGTGCACTATGATCCATTTGTTTTACACTTTCCTAGCTTCCCTGAGAGTTGCAAGCACAAATGGGTGACGGTGCTCCCTTTCAAGATGTTTATAAATAATATGATTCTTTTCCAGCTGGGTAAATCAACATGAACAATTAATTAACGGCAAGTAGATGAGAGTTTATGATTGCATTACACAAATAACAATTAAGAGTTCAACAACTAAACCAAATTTATTTCATCAACTAAAAAGGTTAAAATTATGCAGCAGGTATTGAGAACAGATATGAGTAGCATCTTTTTACCTTAGAATCGTTGCCAATCATGTATTTATTTGGATCCTCATTAGCAACAAGATTTTCCTGTGCCGTGTCCATTTGGGTCTGCTCAATGGTTTCCCCAGATTGAGTGGAAGGGTCTCCCATCTCATTTTGTTCACCAGAACCATTAGTATTGATTATTTGCATTTTGTGCACCTCATTAAAAGAGGTGCAAAATCCTACAACAGGGTTTGGTGATCTCTGGAAAAGTTCCTTAAAACCCTCTGCATCAATGGGAGAATTGAAAATTAAAAGATCGGCAGCATCTGATATCAAACTCTCCCAGTCGCATTCTGTCGCCTCTTGTTTACTCTCAATCTTGTATAGCCCTGCTAAATGCACTTGGCCTTCAGGGGAACCTTCATGAGAAGCCTTGTTAACAAATGGAACAAGTGATGCTGATGTGCCAGCCGATTCGGATGCAGTATCTTTCTGAGTACCACAACGAGGTGTTGGGTCACTGTCAGGGCTACCACAATCACATTTTAACGTCTGTGGTAGTTCAATTGCGAACTTCAAATCTTCACTAGGAGGTTCAACTGAAGAAGACTCTTCAATGGACACCCCAGGATCAAAATTCTCCTGTAGCTCAGCCGAATTTTCATACAGCTGAGCCACGTCTACGACTACCCCTTCATCTTTACAGATGTCATTCCCATTTTCAGAGGAAAAATCTGGTTTTGAGAGATCAGAGTAGTTGTGCCTGAAAATAGAAGTGTAGAAAATGAACAAAATATATACGCTTTCATTGTAGGCTAGATCGATGATAATGGTCAAGAAAGCAAGTCAATTACCTTTTAAGGAACCTAGTTTCCTTATGAGAGCTGATATGGGGCGAAGTGAAAACGGATGGAAGTGATCCAAAACTAAGTGAGTGAAATGTTTGAGCAATGTTTATGGATTTCACTGGCTTGATAGGAGAAAGACTATTGATATAGTTAAAAACAGGTGAATCCTGCACCCAGTAGCAAAAATTCGTCTCAAATCATTGAACAAGGAAGCAACCAGATGGAACAAATATAAAATCCCAAACTACTGATCTAGAATCTAATAAGTAAATCAATTCAAATAAAAGTAAAAAGAATTACTGATAAATAAAAATTAAAGCACAGAAATACAGTATTCTTTTACATTGACATAAAAATAAAAATAAAAAGAGAATGAATTTTGTATAAGTCACTATAAACACCACACTAGATCCTAACAATTGAAGAGAATTTTTTTTTTTTCACAAAAGACACTGTAAATTAAGATCTCAACTTGAAATGCTACCTCATTCTATTTGCAGTTGAAGAGACATGAAGACTACACAAGAAAGAGCCAGATTGCAAAGATTAAACTTAAATTAAAGATCTAAACCACACGAAACTCAAAATTCACAAAAAGAAAACTAACATAAAAGAGAATTTAACAAGACAGGAACCCAAGGTAAGTCTTTTTTTGACAAATCCAGGTAAGCCAACTAGCTAAGACACCAAATCGAAGCACATGCATTGAATCAAACCACACCAAAAACACAATTCACGAATGCAAAAGGTTCAAAGAGATCAGACGAAGAAGAAGCAAGGAATTACCTCGAACTTAGAAAGAGGAGTGGTGATCTGGGTCTTCTCTGGGGTATCCATTGCCAGAGAAGAGGCTACTCCACATAGCTAAAGAAAGAAAAGAAAATAAAAGTATTAACACCAACAGCTACTGTTTTGTTTTGGTTTTTGTTCTACTTCTTGTTATCTCCATTCACTTTCTATCACTTTCTTTTTGGTTTTTGTCTAGAAAGAAAGAAAAGAAAAGAAATTGATTCAAGAGAAGAAGCGGGAAAGCGGGAGAGTGTGGATTTTTCTCGTGGAGATAACTTTGTTGACCCACCTCTACACTCTCAAGACTCAACTCACCACACCACCAAAGATAATAGCAATTACCCAGCCCCACATTTCCAACAACTGTCTTCCTATATAGTTGCTGTGTGTCACTGTCTCTGTCCCTGTCCGTGTTTAAAAAAAAAAAAAAAAAAAACCACCTTCACCTCCCTCTAAAATCTAATGGAGGAACGATTCGCCTTTTACTTTTCAAAAAGTAACGTATCCTCCCTCTTTACTATTGTGAGCTTTCTCTTTTTCCGTTTTTTTTTTTAATCGTAAATTATTAAAGTTGTTTTACTTCTGCTTTGCTGGAGGAAATTATAAACTAATCCTGCTTGTTTTAAGAAACGAATTAATAGGTTTCTCTTATTTTAAAAATTAATTATTTAGTTTTATATTCTTAAATCTATTTGTAATTTAATTTTTTAATTTATTTTGAGTTTTTAAAGAAGTAGAAAAAAAATAAAAAGATTCACAAAAAAAAACCTTTTTTGAGAATGAAAATATTATTAAATAAAACACACGCAATACTTATTAAAAAAATTAAATAATAGTTTTTGTAACAAGAGAGACTAATTAATTTGTTTCTTAAAACGTGAGAGACTAATTTAACTGTTTCTGTAATTCTCTAAAAAATATAATAATGAAATGAAAATAATAATAATAATAATGAGGGACTAAAACTGCTCTATTGTCTATTATAGTTTTAAAAAAAAATGAAAAAACAAAAGAAATATGTTTCCTGCTTTGCTTTTGAACAGTTTTGCTGTCGACGGTCCACCTACATGTAAAGCCATGATTTTCTTCAATTCCATTTGAGGATTAGTGAATTATGTTGATTTAAGCATAAGTATGAATCACTGTCTTTTTTTTTCACGCACTTTTATGTGGTATTTTTCTTTTTTCTTTTTCGGAGCATATTTTTGTGCTTACTTTCTCAAAGGAGTTGTGCCTGGTATGAAATCAAATTCCATGGCCATTTCTATTTTATAAAATTATCTGCAGAAAACTATAAAATCCTATATATATATATATATGTGTGTGACAATGGGATCATCTTTAAAGCAAAAAATGAAAATAAAAACATGATATTTGCATTTATAGCTGGCAGGTTATGTATCACTAAAGCTTTTTATTACCGCATTATGATGCCATTATTGGTCAGATTTATCAATAATTGAGAAGATAAAAACATTTCTTCCAAAATCATCTCATAAGAGATTAGACGATAAATTCATGACAAATTTTTTGTAAAATAAAATGACAGCTGTGTTTCTAATATTGACATTGGTGTTTGCTTCATCGTATTTATCGAATCGAATCAATAGAATTGCACGAATATTGACAATTGTATTGTTAATTTTTATGTATTTGAACCTGGAACTCTCACTTTTTTTCCCTACGATTGGTCTTCGAAATGGACTTTTTATTATTCAGTTATTCTGGTAAAATAAAATGTCGTTGCATTAGGTTATATATATATATATATATTGTGAGGGTCTAGGTTTGGAAATTGCCCCTCGATTTTTCAAATCCAAACCTCAAGGTGAACATTCAATTTGATTTTATTTTTTTGGATGCATTAAATTAATATGGCAGATGTGTTATTAAAATGGTCCGGAGATAGAGAAAATTTAGCGTTAATCATTTTCTATACTAAACTGAAAATAAAAACCTTCGGAACAAAAAAGAAAATAAAAATTAGGTTGTCCAATTTAATCTACTTATCCTTAATGTTAAGATAAATTATTCGGGTTGAATGTACTTTGAAACTGTATATATTATGTCAAGTAGTGAAAAATTCCAATTTTTATGTACTCTAGAAAAAAAAAACAAGAAGGAAATTGGTTTTAGTTAGAATAATAAGAAATTAGCTAATTGCTCGTGTTACGTTGTAAGTTCAATGGAACAAAACTATTTTAAAATTTTAAAAAAATTTAATTATAATTTTTTATTTAATTAATTTATTTAATATTTTTTTATAAACGTTCGTTTTAAAAAAAATAAATCATTCTTCTTTATGGATTGATTTTAAAATAAAATTTTCTAATAATTTTAACTAAAATATTAATCAAGAATTAAAAAAATTTAAAAATATAATTTTCATAATATTGTATTTAAAAAAATAAAGTTGTAATTAACGAATAGACTTTTATAAAAATTAACAAATGAAAAAAAATCTTATTTTAATATCGATGAGAAGATTAATTTTTAAAATTATCCACGCAACGCTACGGGTAGATAGAAAAAAATAATTACAAAATTTTATAATTTTTTATTTAATTATTACTTTTTTGTATGTGTTTTTCATAAAATTTTTGCTTAAAAAAATAATTTATTCTTCTTTATTCAAGTATTTTTAAATAAAAACTTGTAATAATTTAAACATGAGATATTAATTAAGAATTCAAAAACAAATACTTTAAAATTATATTTTTTTTTATAAGAATGTATCCAAACAAAATATAGTTACAATTAAGATATAGACTTGCATAAAAATTAGCCAATGAAAGAATAAAATTTTATTCTTATTTAATGTTAATGAGAAGATTATTTTTTTTAAAGTATATGAATTTGATATATATATATATATAATAATCAATAAAATTAGCACAAAAAACTATATTTTAATAATTGGTTTGTTCCTTTAAAAACTTATTTTAATTATTTTATTTCAAATAAATTGGTTATATGATGTTAAAAAAATATTCATCGTAAATAATTTGTATTATGTTGGTAGAGATATAGTTAATTTTTAATAAAATCAATAATTCAATAGTTTTTTTACACATCTTGACTATATCTATACGTTTGAAATATGTTTTTAACTTTTTTAATATATATATATATATATGCAACTATCATTTAAAATTTTCAAAAATTCATGATATATATTATACCAATTTATTTTCAAAAAAAAAATAATGTTTTAAAATTTTCTAAAATTCAAACATAGAAAAAAATAAATTATATTTATCAGTAAATAAAATTTTATATAAAAATTATTAATTGGATGAGAATTTTCAAAAAACAAATGATAAATTCAAAGAATTAAATTTAAATAATAAGAATAATATAAGCTAAAGTATATGTTAATTTTAAAATATAAAAAGATAGTGTGTGTGTGTGTGTGTGTGTGTGTGTGTGTTAATTGAATGAAAATTTTCATAAAAAATGATAAATTCAAAGAATTAAATTTAAATAATAAGAGTAATATAAGCTGAAGTATATATTAATTTTAAAATATAAAAAGATAGTATGCATGCATGTATGTGTGTGTGTATACACAAACATGCTACGTGAAAATGAAAGAAAAATGAAAACTAAGAATTGAAAAAAAAATATTACAACATGAGGGGAAAAAATAGAAAAAAGTGTTAAATTTATATATTAATGCCCAAAAACATATAAAAATTACTTAAATTACCATCAAGTGAGTAGTAATTTTATACGTATGAACAAGTAAGTGAATAAAAATTTTAGGCATATGAACAATTTGTATCCTTGCACTACACTACAAACTAAACTAAATATATTTATTTCAGTTTGATAACAAATATTATATTATCAGTTAGTTAAAATATATTAAATTAACTATAAAAAATAAAATTTCACCTAATTTATAATTTTGATCAAAATTTTGTGTGTGTGTGTGTATGTTTTGAATAAATTTTGAAGTCAAAAAAATATGATTTGTTCTTTCTTATGCATTTATTCTTAAATAAAAATCCATAATAAAAAATTTTAATATAAATTTTTTTTAAAAAAACATCTTAATATTTTTTCATGACATTGCATAAAAAAAAATAAAGCAATAATTAATATAAAAACTTGTATGAAAATTAACAGATGAAACTTTTTTAATGATGAGAAGATTATCTTTTTAAATATATACATTTGATTTATGTATATTTATTTACAAAATAATGAATAATATTAGTATACAAAATTATATTTGAATTATTAAGCGGTTATTTTAAAATATTATTTCAATTATCTTATTTGAAAAAAATCATTTTAAATATTAAAAAAAATAGCAAATAGTTGGTATTGTATGTATCAATGCATAGTTGATTTTTAATAAAATCAATGACTCTAATATTATTATTTTTTATACATCACGATCATACTCAATAGGTGAGAATGTATAGAATAAATTAAAAAATATTTTAAAAAAATGAATGATAAAATATATATTAAAGTTAATAGAGTGCAGTAAAAACTATAAAATTGATTTCAATAAAATTTGATTATATAAAAAATAAAAAAATAAAATACATATATTTTATTCTTAAAAATTGATTATATAAGAACTAAGTAAATAAAAAAAAAGTATAAAAAAATTATTCGAATCCATACATAGAGAAAATAAATCATATTTATAAATAAATAAAATTATATAAAAAATAGGAATAAAAATTAACTTGATGAGAATTTTTATAATAAATTAAAAAGATCAATTTTAAATAATAAGAGTAGTATATATTTATTCTAAAATCTAAAAACATATCGTATATATTATATAATCGTCAATTTATGTGAAAAAAAAAAGAAACAATTAATTTTTTAAAATTTTAACACCTAATTAAATTAAAAAAAAAAAAAGAACATAGATTGGTGGAAAAAAGCAAAGGAAAAAAGCCAAAGAAAAAAAAAAAAAAGGCATATGTAGTGCATCGGTTAGAGGATTAAAATTTTTATTTTAAAATTTTAGGGATCAAAATAAAACAACTTGAAAATTATCAAAAGAAAAGCCTACGGAATGAATAGTGGTTTGTAAGAGGGTGAACAATAATTTCTACTATTCAAAACCTCCACATGTTTTAGTGTTATAGTAATATTTAAGATACCGTACAAATTAGCAATGCCAATCATCTCGTATGGATATTTCTAATAAACTTCTTATTCTATGTTAATGACGGTGAGAAGATGGATGGAGTAAAGTTATACAAAACATATAAAACATTAGGCATTTGATTATTGAGGGAAAAAAATAGTTTTTAATGGTATTGTTATGAAATAATAAATATCTATATGAATGTTCATATGCTTTTCATATCTCCACTACTCCT